GGCCTTGGCCGCGCGGCGGGCGCCTCTGGGGCTCTGGGCTCGGGCGCGAATTCTGGGAGGAACTTGGAACGTTATTAAATGAATGTATTTTACTTGGCTTATGTTTCCCATTTTATCTTAACAAATCATGCACTTAAAAATAATCTTTTATAGGAGGAAGAAAAATTAATCCAGCAGGAACTAACCAGTTTGAAAGCCACAGTTTCTGCCCCTACCACAACGCTTGTAAGTTCTGTTGCTGCTTATGGGCTGCAAGAACAGCAGGCAAACACAAGGAGAGCAGTGTCCCTGGTTCCTGCTGCCAGAAAGAGAGTCAAGGTTTTCCACACTATGCATGTTTAATCAGCAGCTTTAAAAGATACCCACGTGGATGGTTTTTTATCATGGTTAAACTAGTGAGAACACTGTTCTCACTAGTTCTAGTTCATATAAATAAACCATGGTAATAGGGTGCCCACAGTCTAGATATTTTGTTTTCTCTGATATAATGTAGGTGAAAAAAACTGAGGCTTCTGTCCGATCACATCCCTCTCTGCAGTCTGGCCTTGCTTCTGTCACTAGGTGCTTAGGATGTGTTTGGTCATGTGTACTGTCAATCATGACTGAGCTGTGTGAGTTTATGTGGACCCCTGATTTGGGGGTAATTAATACAAAACTCAGCCACGTGAGTGAGAAACTTTGAAAGAAAAAGAAAGCTTGCCCTTTCAAACATATCAATAACCCATCCTAGGTCAGTGCAGCAATTGGTATGAAGTAATTTGCATTTACACTGATCATCTAACGCTTAAGATAATTCAGTAATATTTTTTATGCTGATTATAGTTGACTTGATGTTGGTCTCATAGTAAGCATAATTAGAAAACATGGAAGGATAGTATGTGGAGATTTCTTCCATTGTGGTCAAAATCAGTGCTGACTCAGCACAGAAAAATTAGTGCTGCTGTGGTTTTAGAAAATGTATATATGTATACATGTACACATGTTTCTCTTAATGTTGTCTACTTCTTTAAAGCAGTGAAGAACAGCATAAACATGTTTTTTTCTAAAATCTTCAATACTTTATTCCTTGTGTTCAGAGACTGATTAAAGAGTGTATGGTGAGACTCATCTATTGTGAAATGCTGGGGTATGAGTCTTCCTTTGGATACATCCATGCAATCAAGCTAGCACAGCAGGGAAATCTTCTGGAAAAAAGAGTTGGTATGTGTATGGCTCTGCAGCTTAATAATATTCTTAAGAAATATTTTTGGAAGATAGTGTAATACAAGATTAGACAAAAATATTATGGTAAGACAAACTATTTCCCTATGCATAGTGTTGTTTTTTTTCTCTGGTCTGTTAAATAGCATTGGTCTATTAAATGCTATTTAACTTATGGGTAGTTGTCTAGAATTTTTATAAAGATTTTATTGCTGTTAGCAAAGTGGCTTTCAAAAATCTTTTTACCTGTTTTGGTGATTATAGGATTTTTTAGTTTAGAAGCAGTTGTAAGAAATGAAGCAAATTGGGAGATCTTTAGAGCAGAGGCACAGAAGTTCCTGCGGAAATCTAACAGGCTATTGCAAATTTATTTAAAATTCCTTGCCGTAGAAATTTCCTTATCTCCCCAGTGTGGCTATGTAGCTTTTCCCAGTAGACTTTGAAGCAGCTGTTAGCCACTCTTGTGTGGAAAAATTTTTGTAGTTGCTGGTTCAACTGCCTAGTGAAGACATTTCTTCTTGTTTGCAGAGAAAATGATTTAACTCCAAGCAATACTGTATCTGCATACACAGAAGGAAGGCAGTGTCTTGCAGGACATGCTTGTTTGATATCCTTTGTTCGAATTTTATGTGGATCATCCACTCAAATATTGGAATTTCTAAGAAAACCTGTTACAAATGGTGATCTAAAGATGCAGTTTTCCCTGAGTAATAAAAGCCAGTCTGCTGATGTTCTGGTAGGGATTAAGAAAGTCTATCTGCATCAAACCTAGGAGGGCAGATGGTAAGCTGTTTTGCAGAAAGCTTGTATATGGCCTTTGTAAATGTCAAAATGCTGTATGTCTTGTTATTAATCAGTTTGAGCACTTTCCATCCTAGAAGTTGGTTTTACAGCAGGGATGTTTGATTGTTTATTCTTTACTTATATGTGATACATAAGGAGAACTTTGTTCTGGGTGAGATACACAAAATGAGTGAACTGCAGTTTCAGAGTTGTGCTAAACTGATAAAATGTGTAGTTATGTTCCATGGTCAGATAGGCTGGTTTAATAATCTGGAAAATATAGTTGCTTGTGTCTAAATTGTTCATTTCAATCCGTATGTCTAAAATGAGGCATGCCTTTCCTGATGAAAATCGAATTCTCTAGTACAAGTAGTGTTATGCTGTATTTCTGATGTTTGGTGGTACCTGTCCGCCTTTAAGTGCATTCATTTATAAGAAGAGGATTCATTTTTCTTAAGAAAAAAAATTCTGCCAAGTTTCTTTCCTGGGGTTCCAGATTTTTTTTCTCTTTATTCCAAATAGCTAGAGAGAATAAATAAGGAGTTTTGGAAATAGGATGGTGAATTTAATTTTAGTACTCAACTTGGAATACAGTAGTGTATTTAAAATTGAACTTTACTTCTTGAAAAAAGATGGATAGAAGGAAATTAGTTTTCTCAAGAAGAAATGTCCTCTTGTCTGCTGAGAAAATATTAACTTTCCAGGAAATGATTTCTCATATCCTTGGCTACTTTTTAGCATTATCAGGGTGTGTTTTATTTCTCACATACTGTGAAATTCTAGCCGTCATTTGTGGAGCTTTACTGCAACTTAAGTGTAACTGGTTTGTCTAGAGGAAAAAAAAAAAAGATTTAGTTAATAACTTGATAAGTAAAATGCAAGAGACAGACTATAATACAAGAAGAAATAATTCAAAGCATTAAAAAATGTTAGGTGACTAAGTTTTCTATTAAGTTTTTTATTGCTTCAAAGTAGTAATGGAATCTTCCTTTTTTTCTTTTCTTTTTTTTAGGTTACTTGGCAGTTTCTTTATTTCTCCATGAAAATCATGAGCTGCTACTTCTACTTGTGAACACAGTTGTGAAGGTACAGTGATTTTGGAGGTCTTGAGGTAAACTAAAGTTGGTCAGGTACTTTCCCCTGTTTTTTCCATCATTGTTTAAGCCATGTACTCATTACTAAAATCTTGTTGTTTTGAAGTTGCTCTTTTTGAGGTTTGCAATGACATTTGAAAAATGACTTCGTCTGTTTCGTTTATTTTTGTTTAATTTTGATAATATTTCTACACTTACAATATAAGCAACAATTTTGAAAAGGAAATATGTCATCAAATTTCCATTATAAAGTGAACCAAATTGTACTTTGGGGTATAAATCCTCAACTCCAGGAGGAGCCTTGCATACGTATTCTGATATAAAAGTATCTGTTGACTTCTCTGAGTTCTTTTGATGATGATTTTGATGGAAGGGAAAATGAAATATTCTTTGGAGTGATACTGAAAATCCATTACCAATAAATAATATTTCATCAGCATCATCTTCTGTATTACTACTTTTTACATAATTATAGTGTCTAACTTCTGACATAATGATTACTTTTATACTACATTAGACTGAATACTTCTGTATATATATATCTGACTATGAGAATGGAACAGCTTTTTATTATTTTCATAAAGAGAAGGTATATCTTTAGGTGCACAGTTTTTCAAAAACCAATAGCATTAGCTAAATTCTTTATTGATTAATTTGAATACCTTGTATTTTATATTTTTATTTTTACAAGTTGAAATGTCTTTGTTCATGAGAAATAAAAATTTTATGCAGGCCAGCTCAAACTTTTAGGCAGGCAGTATGAACAAAGCTCCTTACAACTAGTGTGACTCTTTATTGCCTGCTCCTATCTAAAAAGCCTCCAGGCCACAGACTGGGGGGCAGCAGGATGCTCGCATGTGACCTGCCCAGGTGTGCTAGGTCCAGCCTGTTTACCTAAGTTTTGGGGTGTGTTTAGTAGAGAATTTAAAAGTTTAAATGAAAAATGACTGTCTTATTTCAATAATTGTAATAGGACTTACAGAGCACTAATCTAGTAGAGGTGTGCATGGCGTTAACCGTTGTCAGCCAGATCTTTCCACGGGAGATGATTCCAGCTGTGCTTCCCCTAATAGAAGACAAACTGCAGCATTCAAAGTATGTATTCACTTACAGAGTTTCAAGTCACGTTCTAAAGTTGAACGACTTGATCTTGCACATGGTTTTACTAGCTAATGTTATTTTTTCAGAGATGGTCTTTACCCCTCATCTTCAGAAATTTCTTCTCTGCTAGTTTTCCTTTTCCATTTTTGTCTCTCATTTTTCACCAGTCTTAACTGAATAGTGTGTAGGCATTTGTTTAATTTGCTATTTAATAGTATCCCATACACAGAATATAATGTCTTATTCTGGTGATGAGAACCTTAAAAGAAAATGCAGAATGAACTGATAACTGATCCAGTAATTAACTCTTATAAAGTCTTTTTGTTTGTTTTGAGCAGCAGATTTGTAGCATCTAGTTTCCAGTTTATCTGGTGCCCATTCGTGGTTTTTTTTTTTTTTTTTTTTTTTTTAATCTATCTTCAGGTGCTTCTGAACCCTTAAGTTTGCTTAGTTAGTTCTTTGCTTAGTTAGTCCTTAAGGAGCAGCTTAAAGATTTTAAAAGAAAGTCATTTGGTCTCAAATCTTCATCTGTAAAACATGAGTACTCAGTCTTTCTCTACGTCAGACCTCAGAACATCATAACATAATATTTCTGTGCTGTAGAAATGAGAAATGCAATTGATTTTGCTAAGTTAAGTGCTTAAAACACAAGAGCAGGTTGATTTTGTTTTGTGTATTTTTTTTTCAGGGAAATAGTACGAAGAAAAGCGGTTCAAGCTTTGTATAAATTTTATCTCATTGCTCCCAACCAAGTCCAGCACATTCATGATAAGTTCCGAAAAGCCCTGTGTGACAGAGATGTTGGAGTCATGGCTGCTTCTTTGCATATTTATCTTCAAATGATTAAGGTAGGCAAAGAATTAGAAACAAAATAGAGCTTAGAGGCTGATTGTATAGCTACCACAAATATGGGGACCTTTCTCGGAAGTTTTATAGATCCATAATCTTTAGAAAACCTGAGTTATGTGATCATGGAAATCTATGCTATTTTTGATGGTTATTCAGCTGTCTCTTATATTCAGTCAGAGGTCCACATGTTGCCCAATCCAAATGCTTATTGGTATTTTTACTGCAAACCTAAACTTAATTTTTGTAGTATGTTAAGGGGTGTCCTGAAATTTGCATGTAAATTTATGACCTTTGGCTTCAAGTGACATTCACTGTCCTCAGAAAAGTGTGAGTAAATAGCAGTGGCTTAAAGTGAAGAGCTTACAGGTTTGGGGGGTGAGAGCCAAAGTTTTGACCATGAAGCAGTTGGTCAGTGTAGCTATTTTAATTGTATTTGATTTGTGGCCTTACTTCATACTTTCGAGGCACTATGTTAAAATGTTTGAATTGTATTTCTTTTCCATTATTTAGGAAAACTCATCTGGATACAAGGACTTGGCAGGGAGTTTCGTAACCATCTTAAAGCAGGTAGTGGGAGGAAAGCTCCCTATTGACTTCAATTATCACAGCGTACCAGCACCATGGTTACAAATTCAGCTTTTAAGAATATTGGGGCTACTAGGAAAAGATGATCCAAGGTAACCAAATTTTTCTCTGCAAATAATGCTTTTGAGATACAAAGAATACACAGTGGTCAGAGCTTAACTGGACAGCTTTTCTGCTCTTTTATAAAACAGGTGGATTTCAGCGTTGACCTTATACATTTGTTTTTTATAAACAATACTGTCAGCAGATTGATTTTTTTAAATAGAGAAGTTAAATTCTGAGTTTCTGTCTCAGCAAAGTGCTTGATTATTATGGCATACATGTGGAATGCGTTTTTGGTCAGGATTTCTATTACTAGCGTAGCATGCAATTGAGTAAACGCAAATGTATGTATTTTTATATAAATAAATATATATATATATAGCTAAAGTAGTGTATTTTTGTTCGGGTCTATCTGTGACTTTTTCCTGCT